TCAATATCACCTATCTCAGTCCCTCTAGTAGGTGAATTCTCAATGTCAGCCCATTTGTCTTCTATAAATTGATTAATAGCATGGTCAATATGCTCAAATAAACTTCAGCTAGTGGTTTTTTTACCTTTTGCAAGCATATGCCTGTCAAAATCTTCTTTACTAACTACCTCGGCTTCCAAAAACTCAGGCACACTAGACTTTTTTTTCTTAGGAGTGAATCTAGATCTCCTGATAACCACTTGAGCTTCAATTGCAATGGACTTGTCTATACTAAGAGGTTCAATGACTTTTGGTGCCTTATTTGTTGGTGTCTTCCCTAACATAAATGACCTAGAAGCTTGGACAACTTTACTATTCTTACCCACTACTTCAGCCCATATGTATATCTCCTTATCCCCAGACAAATTACCAAACATTTTCATTAAGTCATCATCACTTGAAGACTAACATGCTTCATTTTAAACTCATATGCAAAAGAAGGGTGTTTAGGAGTTTAAAAATTGTTCTCATTTTCTTTCACCAAATACTCTATAATAAGATCTATCAAATTTGCCTTATCAATGTCCTCAACAATGACAGACACATCTACACCCCTATTTTTAAAATTTAACACAATATTGTCACCCATTCTGCATCAAGTATAAGAAGCATGTATAAGCAACATGCCCTAAATCATCAAGTATATATAATATTCGAGTAATTTTAACGTTACAACCCAAAAATTACCTGTACTTTATAAACAACAACACAACACTAATTTCACAAAATGAATCAACAAAAACAACAACATTAGTTGAGCAAAACCCTACACATTAAAAAACAGAGCATACCACAAATAAAGTCCAAATAAATGCATACCTGACTTCGAATCGCATCACAGATAATATATTTCTTCGAACGATCGAAGCTTGCTGACAATCGCAGCCTCTTCGAATCAAACTCGTCAACAAATTCGCCCAATTTCCTCGTCAAAGTGCAATCCATATTTCCCCTAAAACAACTCAAACCTTAGAATTTCATCATCTTTATTCAATTGAGCGAGTAAATAATCCGAATAAAGATGATGAAATTCTAAGGTTTTATTCAGGCACTTTGACAAGACATAATTGGTTGGCTGAAATTAATAGGGGTATTTAAGTCAATTCACCCTTTTCCTCCCTTATTAAATAAACCATGTTTAGTATTGCTAAAAATGTTTAACTCATGTTACCAATGATTTAGTTATGATAATTGTAGATTACCATAGCTAGATAATTTAAAATTTTAGTGTTTACCATTGAGGAAAAAAAAACCCAAAAAAAAAAAAACCAAAAAAAAAAAAAAAAAAAAAAAAAACCCCTCAAGACTACCATTGAGAATTTCCCAAAAACTAACCGTGGTGAATGAAATGATTAAATTGATTAACTATTGTTAATGTTGAATTAATAATAGTAATAGTTGATCACCAAAGATAATTGAAAATTTTGTTGTTTACCAATGAGAAAATTAAAAAACTTAAAGAGTATCGTTGAGAATTTCCCTAAATAAAATTACAATTTTAGAAAGAAGGAACTTTAAAAAAAAAATAAAAACTCTAAGTAGTGAAGAATCAACATATATAGGTCACAATGCAATGGGCATTAGTACTATGAACTTGAGGATCGGGATGATTTGGGCTTAAAAACTTGTTTTTAGTTGAATAATAATTTGTTATTTGTACATAAGAAAATGAATAAGATTGTAAGTTAATAAAAAATCGTAAAGCTACGAATTTTACGGCTAAATAGTTACTAACTATAGATGCATGTGATACTCATCCACCATAAGCTTTATATGTAGCATGAGATTAATTAAAATGCAATTGGGGTTAAACTTCTTTAATTAGGTGTGCTTCCTAAGAAAATTTGTTGCAAGAGATATACAGGTAATTTTTATCTTCTTCCAACGAATTCTAAACAAATTCCAAGAAACCACTAATTAAAATGTTTAATAACATATGCAATAATGCTTGTATTTTGGTGAATGGTTAAATTAAATAATTCAAATTTAAACAATATTGACCATAGATGTTTGTTGCTAGGTTGTACCACCAATTATATAGGTACACAAGAGAATGATATCAAATTAAACAAATTAAATCTGTATAATATATAGGCGGAGAATCCCTTATATAAGACAAACGAACATTTCTAAATGATTTAATTAATTAATAAATTTGCTAATAGTCTTCCAAATCTATCACTCGAAATGGAGGGAAAAATGGTTTTCTACAAATCCAAGAAGAATGTAGTAGTCATTCTTTTCATCCTTGCTTTAGGTAACATATGTATTTTCTTTGTAATCACATATGATGCAATTAATTTGTCCATTATATTTTCGTAGGTGTTTTGATCATTATTAGATAAACTTTATGTTTTAAGTACTAGTGGTCTATTCGATACAGTAATTGATATTGATTGCGGTATTGCGAATAAATTTGAGTGTAATTTAACAATAAATAAAGTACCATCAAAATTAATGTGGTTTTATCATAATTTAAGGTCAATTAGCTTAGCATTACGTACCATGGACCTTACTATCTGAACTGAATCTTTTATAAACATACAACACAAATTCATGTTCATTACCTTGATTTATTACTACATACATATACCAAATAGATCGTAAGATTATTAACCCTACATATTGATGCTATATGCAAAACTTTTGCAGCACAAATCATGGTTGATAAATCTGAAAGTTGTGCTACTACCGGAGAAAAATGTTCGTCTTTCTTATTTTTTAGTAATTGTTGTCCGGGATATAGGTGCAGCAAAGGTGCTGGTCACAAATGTGTAGAAGGTAAGTGGCAAATTATGTCATCATTTTCTTATGATATAAGTAATTGAATTGTGATTGTTTTTTGACAACAAATTGTGATAATTTGGTTCAAATTAAATTGTTTTGAGTCGAGTTAGATTTTGACACTTTTACTCCGTATGTACTATGCTTCGTAAAACTTTGTTTGTAGATAAACATTGCACGCCGTCGGGGGGTTTATGCTACCCTGACATCCCCTGTTGTGGAAAAAGCTATTGTACAAGTGCATTCGATATATGTCCATAGTAAACACCCATGATCATCACAAGGCTCGTTTATGTGGAGCTTTATTCCATTCGAGTTTGTTAGATTAACTATTTTAATGGTTATTCTAGTTAATAAATTAGAAGTACTAAAGATATAAAGTACTCATTTATCATTGTAACACTAATTTACAAAATTAGTATTGTAATATACCTGAATTTTTTCTTGTGTGATTTGGGAAATATAAAAGTATAAACATTCGAATTAATATAAGATATTGTTCAAATTTAATCAATCAATCTATACTATATACTAAAGTAATTACCATCAGGGGCAGAATTAGGGGGGTTCATTGAACCCATAGATTTTTTGAAAAAAAAAAATATAAGTTTTATTTTTCTTAAAAAAAAAAGGGTTAAGACAAATTTTTCTGAGGTAAATAATCAAATGTATAGTCTGGCGCATTGGTAATGATATGAATGTTTGAGCAGTGCACTCCTCTTCGATCTTGGGTTCGATTCCTCTTGTCCTCCTTTTTTGTAATTTTTTTCCACCTTACATTCAGATATCAAAAATTAAAAACAACAAACATCGACATTTCTTATTTTCCCCAAATTTCCAAACTCTAACCTTTTAACCAAACCCTAACATTGACACCCTACTCCTAGCCACTGGTCGTCACGGCCCCGCACTGTAGCCACCGAGACATCGACCAGTGACCGGGGACTGAGCACTGACGGACGACAGTTTTGAGTTCTTCAAGAATTCAAGTTCTACCGTTTTGTAAGTCCTCTTGTTCCTCTACTCCTCTTAATTATTAATCTTTATTTGTTTGTTTTATTTTTTTAATTGGTTTTGATATATTGTTGAATATTTAAATTGTTGACAAATTGAATTGTAGAAACTTAGAAGCTAGAATTATAAATTTTTACTTGGTCTTTTAATTGATAATTAGAAGACGTCTATATTGTCAAATTTGTATTTATTGGGGACTTGGGATTTTTAATTGATAAAAAATTGTTTATTTTGTGTAATATTGTAGATTGTAGAGCTTTTGTTACAACTTACCATGAGTTTAGAGGCTTTTTGGAAATGTGTCGGGAAGTCACAAAAGTCCTCTACTTGTTCTTCACCTAGTTAAAGAATTATCCAATGGAAGAAGAAGTTGTAAATCCTATTGATGATGCGGATATTAAGTCTGCTAATGATGATGCGGATGTCATGTCTCCTACTAATGATGCGGTTCCAGTGGCTGCTTCAATTCCAATCCCTGAAAACACAACTCAAAGAATTCCAAATGCTAGTGTTGAGTCTGATGATACTCACATTTATGATGTTGATCTTCATCCACATGACCCTGGAAAAAGAATTCCAATTTTGGAATATCCTTCTACTAGTCGAGAAGTCGTGAGAAGAGGTTATATAACAATGAAACGTTGTGATCCACGCACTCATAATTTCTTTCAAATACAAATAGGAGGTATGCGTCGATTTAGTGTTTCTTGGTTTGCTAAATATGATTGGCTTGAATATAGTGTTGAGAAAAATGCGACTTTTTGTTTTGTGTACTACTTGTTCAAAGATAAAGTTGCTTCTTTGGATGCTAATGATTGCTTCATTAAAGGGGGGTTTAGAGGATGGAATAAGACTGGTAGATTTAATCTTCATGTGGGAAGTCTTTGTAGTTTGCATAATCAAGCTTATGAAAATTACAATTTTTTCATTAACCTAAAAACATCAGTTGCTGGATCTTTTTCCACTTACTCCATAGAAGCTAAACTTCAATACAAATCTTGATTGACTTAAACATTAAAATGTATTAAATTTCTTTGAAGTCAAGGCTTAGCTTGTCGTGGGCATGATGAAAGCGAAGACTCTTGGAAGAGAGGTAATTTTCTTGCACTCTTAAAAGTGATGTTGCAAAGGTTGTTCTAAGTAATGCCTCAGGAAATAATCAAATGAATTCTCCTTTAATTCAAAAGGACCTCTTTAATTGTTGTTCCAAAGAAACCACTAGACTTCTCGTTGATGATATTGGGGATGACTACTTTGGAATACTAGCAGATGAATCTAGTGATGTATCTCAAAAGGAACAAATGGCCCTTTGTTTGCGTTATGTGAATAATAAAGGGAAGATAACTGAGAGGTTTCTTGGAATTGTACATGTTAAGGATACCACTGCTTTGTCACTAAAGAGTGCAATTAAGTCTTTTCTTATGGAGTATTCATTGAGTTTGTCTAGAGCTCGTGGACAAGGTTACGATGGTGCTAGTAATATGAGGGGTGAGATAAACGGTTTGAAGACTTTGATCATGAATGAAACAAAACAAGCTTATTTCGAGGGGCAATGCACCGCAAACCCATATATCATCTGCTAATACACAACCAACTAATGGGCCAGCACCTTAACGACAAGCAAAGAAGCAGAACCTATAATAGCTTCTTCTCCTACAACATAGTATTCTCCGTTTACATTTATTCCTCCAAATCCAACAAGGGATTTCCTCACAACTTCACAATATTGCTACGAATCCTGATCTTGCTTCCTTATCTTATTGCACACTTTTAGCAACCCTAAGAGTTACCAAAAGGACAAGCCTTATTCATTAATTTGCTCACCAACTTCAATTAACCCTTGTTGCTGATGCTAAGGATAATGATGATTGTATTTGGTTGTTAGACCAACTTGCTAGTTTATTAAATATTATTGGTGTTTCTTGTAAGCGAAGGGAAATGATAAGAGAAATACAATCTCAACATGTTCTAGAAGCATTAGATCTAGGGGAAATTCAAAGTAGGCAAGGTTTAAACCAAGAAATTAGTTTAGTTTGGACTGGTGATACTAGGTGGGGGTCACACTACAAAATTGTTTCAAATGTTACCTCATTATATGCTACTTTTGTTAAAGTTCTTGAGAAAGTTGGATCAAATAAGTTTTATAAGGATGATCGTGTAAAGGCTATCACTGTTATGTCTTCATTTGAATCCTTTGAATTTGTTTTCATGATATGTTTGATGTCTGAAATATTTGGGCAAACTGATAAATTGTGTCAAGCTTTGCAAAGAGGAGACCAAGATATTGTTAATGCCATGTCATTTGTTACATTGACTAAGGAACAATTGCAACAAATAAGGGACCATGGGTGGGAAGAATCTTTGCATCTTGTGCTTTATATTTGTGTTAAACATAATGTGGAAGCTCATAATATGAATGATATGTATGTTCCTCGTTGAAGATCAAAAAACTTCTTTGCCAAAGTGACAAATATTCATCTTTTTCAGATATAAATGTATTTAAGTGTCATTGATTTACTACTCCAAGAGCTCAATAATAGATTTGATGAGAAAAATATGGAGTTGCTTATTTGTATGTCATGCTTAAATCCGGTAAATTCATTTGCGGCATTTGATAAGCAAAAGTTGATGAGACTTGCCGAGTTATATCCCGAAGATAGAGTTTCCAACTAATGATATGACAATGGCTGCTCTTCATCATGAACTTGGTTTCTATATTAATGACATGCGTACATAGAATTCTATGATAAGACTAGCATTCTATGATAAGACTAGCATTCTATGATAAGAAGTATGCTTATTTGTTACAAATTAGTTTACTTGTTGATAAGACTAGCATTCTATGATGCTTGTTGAAACAAATAAGCATACTTCTTACAAATTAGTTTACTTGAAGGGTATTAATGAGCTTTCTATGATGCTTGTTGAAACAAATAACCATCTTTTCGGTGGCGACAGCAAGCATGGAACGAGTGTTTTCATCAATGACTTGTGTAAAAAATAAGTTGCGGAATAGTATGGGTAATTAACTATTGAATGATTGTTTAGTTACTTATCTTGAGAAAGACTTATTTTCTAGAGTTAGTGATGATGATGTATTAGCACGCTTTCAAAGTATGAAAACTCGAAGATACTTTTGTAGTTTTTTTTTAAAAAATTTATTTTTGTGTAATCCATCCATTTGTAATAAAAAAATATGAATTTAAGTATTGAATATTTAATTAATATATGATCATCGTTTTTTTTAAGATTCTGAACCCCAGTTCGGAAATTTTGGATATGCTACTGACCACCATATAGGACACTTGTCATAATTTTGTAAAAAAATTCCCTCCAAAATGCTACTTCTTTATTTTTTTATTATTTTGTAAAAATCCCATTATAAAAAAAATAGTAATAAAAAATTTGAAATTCAAATATTAAGGGTATGCTAGACATTTAATAAAATTCAATTTTTTAAAAAAATGTTACATTATTTATTTAATTTCAATTCATTATCATTACTAATAAATTATTAAACCTTATTATTATGAATTTGTGCATTGCACAGGGCTAAAACTAGTGATTCTTATAATTGAAATTATAAAATAGTTTATTTAGCTTTATTTTTAATAAATTTGGCGGTAAAGGGTAATAGTCTCAATTTGTTTTATTACTTTAATTGTATACTTGTATTTATATGAAACACAATTAATTTTGATCAGCCCCCTAAAAAATTATTTTCAAGATCCGCTATTTACGAAAAGAATTGTTTTCAAAATCCGTTATTTATGAGTTACGAGCTTATGATATGATGAACAAGTTAGTTCATGATGCCCTTACATTGAGAATTGACAAACTCTACTGATGTTCGATTTTCTTCGCTACTATTAGTCTATTACAACTTACAAGCAAAGAATAAAGCTAACATTTGTATAGTACTAGAGTATGTCACTCTCTCAATGTAAAGGCAATTATTTCTACAAGTTGGACAAAAATACAACGTAATACAATATATTTGTGTCTACAAAAATGAGATCACATCAATTAAGTGAAGAAAAGACAACACCGAGAGAGTACTAGAGTTTGTCACTCTCAATGTAATATCAATTTCAATAAGACAACAATCCTCTAGGGGCCTTCATTCAATGAGCCTAATGAAGACATACAATTAATAGCTGCCCCTCTTTCTTTTTATCTTTTCTCTCTCTTCTTTCTTCTAGGATTTTAGTTTTTTTAGCCATTTAGGCCGAAAATAGGAAATAATCTAATTTTCGACCCTTTTTCTTTAATTCAATTTAGCCTTTTGCTTTGATTTACGTTTTGGTTTGTTTTGATTTGTTTTGTTCTCTCCATAACTGAAAAAATGTCCCAATTTTATGGGGGTTTTTTCCTAATTCCATGGGATTTCGATTCTCATCTAAGAATTTGATTTATATGTTTTGTTAAATGAGGATTTTGATAAATGGCAATGGAATGCAAATTTATTAATCACTTCAACGCTTATATGCTTACAACCATGGTAAATTTCAAACCTCTTTTCCAAATTACGCCAATAGTTGTTTGAACAATTTTCATGCCTTCACCATCACAATGGAATTTTGCTAAGGGTGTAGCCCATGAAGGAGGCAAAATTGGTGGTGTATTTCAGTCTTATTATAAACAAGATAAACAAAATTTGCAAATAAAGGGGTAAGCTTTTAATAAAACATGTAAAAGGAAAAAGGGAAATTTTCCCGGTAATCATGAACTTTTATTTTTTCTCATTGATAAACTTAACTTTTGTTTATCAATGGTAATCACGATATAATAATACCAAGCCAATGGTAACTTAAGTTAAACAATTTGTTAATTACTTAACCATGATGAAGCTATTTGACTGCTGAAAGACATAACTACCCCTAGTTTGAATCAATCCCAACCAATTCTTTCTTCTTCCTTTCTCTTTACACTTCCTTTCTTTTTCCTCCTCCATTATTGCACCTCCCTTTGTAGCATCTCCAGCCCCTACCGACGCCCTTCCTAACACGCCGTCGCTACCACTTCACTTCTCCGCATCCCCCACCCCAGCCCACCTCTTTTCCCCGCATCCCCCGCCCCTGCCTCACTTCTTTCCCCTCATTCCCTATCATTCTCCGTCAAAATACAAAATAAAAACCCCACAAACTCCCTCAAAACAACTTAAATCTATACATTTCTCCCTTCGAAACACAATGCAGCCTCACTCATACTCAAATTCCAGGGTGTTAGAAGAAGTTATTCATATCAAATTGACCTCCTCTGCCGCCATCGACGTGTTGTTGTTGTTGATTTGGTTTTTGTAATTTCGGTGGTGATGAGAGGATAGGGAGGGTGGGTCGCCAGATGGGGTTGATGGATTGGGTTGGGTCGGGTTTGGCGGGATGATTTGGGGGCAATGTTGTTGAATATTTTAGGGTTCAATAAGATTGAAAATCTCGTAATATTCTTAGTTTTAAGTTTATATGAGACTATTGTATTTAAACAATTATAAACATAAATCAATTACTGAATTGTACATTCAAACATGGGAGGATTGGTCATTGGTGCTCTGATTTATCATTAGTTTAGGTGTTTGATTGGCATTGCATAATACTAGTGTTTTATTGGTGATGACTGCTAGCTTTCTTGTTTGCATTGGCTTAAGTAGTTTCGGTGCTTGTCCGGATTGAGGTGTTGGTGGTGGGGGTCTCAAGCGCCGGCAAGGGAGGCGGGTTGGCTGGGTAGGTGGGGAGGGATTTAAATTTCTTTTTTTTTGTCTTTTTTAAAAAATAATTTAAAAGGTATTAATGTAAATCCATTGTTATTTAACCAAGATTAACTCTGGTTAGTTGTTTATTGATATTTCATTATCATTAATGTTATCATTGACTTATTATTACTATTTCGTGATTACCATTGATAAACAAAAGTTTAAGAGTTTACCACTTAGAAAAAATAGAAGTTCGTGATTATCAGTGAGAATTTCCCAAGGAAAAAACACCATATCAAGTAAATAAAGGGGTAAATCTGTAATATCATATGTAAAAGAAAAAATCACCATATCAAGTACACGGTACAAAATTACTCATTTATTTACAAATTTATCACTTGATAAATAAGGGATTTTCTCAACTTTGAAGGATAATATCTGACAACATTAAACCTCTAATATACACACCAAAATTTTATCAATTTCTTTTTTTGATCGTTATAAATGTATTGTATGTTGAAATTTTATTCTTTACCACGATTTGTACAAAAAAAAAGTCCTTCTATTCCACCTTTTGCGTTATACATTAGGCTAATTAACGTGTTTGCTTACCCTACTAATGTACCTCAATTACCACTTCGTTTTAGTTTTTCCAATAATAAAACCAACGTTTACTAAATTTAAGCAACCAAAATGGTTTACATATATAGGACAATACAAGTACATAGCAAGTGAATCAGGCAATATAAATAATCTAAAAATTGTGTTCATCAAATCGTCTCAACCTCATGGAATCACGAGTTGTCTTCAAAAAAAGTAGTGACGACAATAGTTATGCAATTCTAAACGTATAGAGTACTTATCTCACCAATAAATTTTGGTTGGAACTTGGGAGGATATTGTTCGGGTGTGTAATGTGAAATTAAAGAAGATTAGTCCATAAGCATCAGTTTTAATGAGTACTACTTGGCTAAGGAAATACAAGACTGTTATATTTAAAGACTATCAAAGTCTCCTGACTAGTATACTATACTAAAGCAATCACCAAAATATCCCTAGATTACACGTGTCAGCGACTCATAAAAAAACTTCCCGCCTAATTTTTTTTTCACAAGGTAGAAAACAAGTTAATAATTCTTGTCTTAACAATTTAACATTTAAGATCCCATATTCAATTTTTCACTTAATAAAAAGCAGAAGGTGTATTAATTTTGATAAAATCCAATTGTATTGTTGATCGACTAGTTAAATCATCTTACATCTTTAAAAAAATCATCAAACAAAATTATTTTTAATATTATGCATAAAGATATAATTCAACCATATATTAAACTAGTTTTTGGCCCTGTGCAATGCACTGATTTATAAAGATTTATTAATAATAATAGTCAATTGAAATAGAGTTAATTGAAGTTAAATGAGTACCAATTTTATTTTCAAATTTAAATTTATTAATTTAATGTATAACATTTAAATTATTATCTGTTGCATATAATATATATATAAATAAAATTTATTAAAATAATTTATTAACAGAATTTTTTTAATAAGAAATTAAATAAATAGCATTTTGGAGGGAAATTTTTATACAAAATTGTGCCAAGTGTCCCCTTTGGTGATTATTTTAGTATATAGAGTAGATAGATTGGTTAGAAAAGTTATAAATTCCAAGATTGTGTTAGTTTTTGTTGATACTAGATTAGGTCTCGTGTCATGCATGGTTATTTTACTACAATTAATCAATAAAAGA